ACTATATACAACTGCCAGAGCTACAAAAGGTTGACAGTATAGTGGCCCAGCATCTACTACTGGTTGGGCACCTATCTTTCCGTGAATAAATACCTGCCAGAAAGAGCCTTGAACAAAAGAACAGTTCTTTGAAATGTGATTACTTGGGTTCTGTGTAGGAAGCTAGCCTGTATAGAATATTCTAAACTAAAATTCTTATTTCTAAGGGAGCAAAACCTCTACATGATCAGGCAAACCAGAAATATTAATATAAATCCATTCAGTAAAAGAAATGCTTCATATAGTAAACGTACCCAAAGCAAGTTTAAAGTACGTGCAATGTACCTTTTGATAAGGTCTCTTAGGTGATAGGCTGGAATTGCGGCATTCACCACTGCTTTACTGGCAAATATGTGATCAATAATAGCAGAACTGTTTGCCTAGAAAAGGGAAGAAAATTTTTCCTTTGGTCATTTAATTCAGTCTCTATCCACTTCATACTAGGCACACAGCACTGTACTATTTGGTAAGTAAAATGCACAGAAAACACTCTTCTGAGAACTTGCGATCTTAATGGAGATTATGTACATAAATTAGAAGCTTCTGAAAGAGAGGAGGAACATTTTTTTCTCTATTTCCATCACCGAGCACCGTATCTGGCACTTTATGAACATTTACTAGATGAGTGAACAGAGAACAAATACCAAAGCAAAACCACACAAAAATGTAGTTCGCTGCCAAGTGAGACAATGAATGTGTGCTAGCTGAGGCAGGGTGTCTTAGAGATGAGCCTTCAACTGGTTTCAGATAGCAATCAAATAAACTATCAAAGAGAAAACGAGGCAAGATTTAAAAAACATTTGTCACATGAGTCACAATCTAAATCTATGGAACATAACATTTTATCTGAGTACTGTGCTAACTAAGAATTTGGAACTATGTATATCAGTAAAAAGCCCTGACACCATCATTATCACTCAAAACGTATTAAATACATACAACATAACAGACACTGTGCTAAGTACTTTATGGGTATAA